GGTTCCCCCGGCTTCACTTCCGGTGGGCGGGCTCCAAACTGCTCCGCTGAGTGGGAGGTTTTGGCTGCGTGGGAGTCGGCGAGTTTCCCTCCGTGAGCGCTTGTACTGGTCGTTTTTTGCAAGCGTTTGCCAGGTTCCGGTACTTAAGTTTCTGTTGTTGAGCAGGTGCGCCCCATCCTCTCAACTAGGGACAACCGCAGTTCCTCCCACCGAGTAGCGCCCGTTTGCTGCCCTGTTACTGCACAGAAGTAAGGGGTGTTTCTCTCACAACTGTCACCCCTGTGCAGGCTGGCAGGCTCGGGGTTCTGCTGTGATTCGAAATAGAATTGATCGGGGGACGATCCAGGGAATGCCGGTAGCCACAGAGTTCAGTTATGTGATTAACTTAAAGCCCCCCAGTTTTGCCACGCATTCGGAATTTTCATGGAGCCCAAATACACGAAATCAAATAACTTCCTTTAATTGAAATGGAATCCCAGTAATTTCTCCAGTTCAACAAAATAGAGGGAAAAGCGTGCTGTACCTAGAGCAAAGAAACTGAAATTTCAAGGAAAAAGGTAGAATTACGGAATTTAAAAATATGTAATATTCCTTAGAAGGAACTGTTGTGAACTTAATACGTGGAAGAACTGGCTGTGGCTGGAAGTGATTTCAATTTACCGAAGTGTTTCCATTTCCACTTTCTAATTTTTTAATTTTTAATTTTTTGGGGATAGTTGACACAATGTTACATTGGTTTCAGGTGTACTCACTCATCGTGAGTCAACATCTATCTTATGGCATGCTCACCACAGGTGTAGCTACCATCTATCATGGTACAATGCTATTACACAATTCGACTTTCTTCTCCATTTTTTCTTTTAAAAGCTTCACAGCATGGGATGAAGCCTAATTCCCAGTTATGGAGAGAACTTAATTGAAAAGCTATGTACTTTGATCAGGTGGTAGATTTTAACCCAGGCAGAGTGGCCTTTTAACATGCCAAACTATTTCGTTACTGTACAAAGAGATGAAGTGCATGACTCCCAGTGTTATGATTCAAAGACCCTTTAGGACATATATGGGATAATGTGCTCCAACTTTGATATTTTAGACAAGTTATAACCTCCCACATAGAAGAAAAGGTATGTACTGAGCCTATGTAAATTAGTTTACCTTTTAGGACCATGAATTGGCTCAAATATAGATGATTTTGTGTTGGTGAAAACAGGCTTGAAGGGTCATTTCTAGTCCTAGTTTCATTATGAATTAAAAAAAAACTTAGATTCTGTTAACTTAGCTTCTTCAGTTGTCAGACATATATATATAGACCACATTCTACTTTTTTCTGGCTTTCAGATTTCCAATAAACAGTTTCTGAAATAAAGCAGTTTTTTTTTTGCAGAGCTTTGAAGCCAAAAAATTATGTATTTCTTAAATATTTTTATGATGGTATAATGATACTTTAGAAAGTAAATTTCAAGTATTTTTTCACTTTTAATTATGTGGAATGATTATATTTGAACAGGACTGTTGATATTTCTACTGATTCTACTCTTTCAAAATGTCTGAAACTTTTTTTTAAAGATTTTATTTATTTATTTGACAGAGCGAGACATAGCGAGAGCAGGAACACAAGCAGGGGGAGTGGGAGAGGGAGAAGCAGGCTTCCCGCCAAGCAGGGAGCCCAATGGAGGGCTTGATCCCAGGACCTTGGGATCATGACCTGAGCCGAACCCAGGCGCCCCATGAAACTTTTTTTTTTTAAAGTAATCTCTACACCCAACGTGGGGCTCTAACTCACAACTGCAAAATCAACAGTTGCATGCTCTGCCAACTGAGCCGGCCAGGTGACCCAAAATGTCTGAAACTTTATGTTGAAGAACTGTTCTAACTTTTGTCATCTTTTCTAAAATTTACCTGACAACAGGACTGCTGTAATATTTTAAAAATATCTTTTCACATTAGAAAGTGTTATTTGCAGACTTCGGAATTTGAAATTTTTACTAACTGGAAGGAAAGAAAACTTAGTCACAACTAAAAAAATCTACAATTGATTAACAAAATATAGTTGTGAATTATCTAAACAAATCATGCTAATATACCATAATTACCTTTTAGAAAAGCTTAGTTCATGTACATTTGTATTATATAAATTATAGTAGGAACGCTTATCAAGAATTTAATCAAACTAGACAATTTTGAGTCATGTACTTTTTAAATATAGCACTTAAAACATAACACCTTTATTCATTTTTTCTGAAAACATCCCTTTAAATTTTTTAAAACTAATTTCAGTGTAGCTTTTGATCCAAAGAAGGTAACTGTTCTATGAAATGTTACTATTTGTATATATATTTTGAATTCATGAAATAAAAAAGTCATAAATAAGGAATATAATACTATTGTTAGGGTTATAACTTATTTTCTGAAGTGTTAATTGGAAATAACTTCCTTTAATTAAAATGGAATGCTGGTAATCTTTCTCTCCAACAAATTTTTTTTAAATTTTTTTTTTTTTAAGATTTTATTTATTTATTTGACAGAGAGACACAGCGAGAGAGAGGGAACACAAGCAGGGGGAGTGGGAGAGGGAGAAGCAGGCCTCCCGCCAAGCAGGGAGCCCAATGCGGGGCTCGATCCCAGGACCCTGGGATCATGACCTGAGCCGAAGGCAGACGCCCAACAACTGAGCCACCCAGGCGCCCCTCTCTCCAACAAATTTTAAGAAAAAGATAAAAGTATTGAATTAGAGCAAAACAAAAGAATAAAAATTTCAAGGAAAAAATGAAACATTGAACAACTAGGAAATTCAAACTATATTCCTTAGAAGGAACTAATTATAAACTAACTTCAGATAATAAGGATTGGCTACAGCAGGAATTGAATTCAATTTATTACTCTGTTAGCTAAGATAAATTGCATGCATGGCTTGAACCAAAAGTCCAGGGACAGCATGTTCTGCCAACTAGGAATGAAATTTACTCTTTAAAACAACTCTCTTACACATTTAAGATTATGTCCACTTTGACTTTAGTCTCCAGATGAGCTGAGATCGATAGATTTCCAGCTTTCCTAGACTTTTTTTCCTAATCCCCTCATACCTTCTTCATGAAAGTAAATATTTTGGAATATGTTTTTTGATAAAGTTAAGCTTTGGAGCACCACAAACTGAGATTTAAGATTATAACTAAGATTTTTTTGCTCCCCCACATTGGGGGCCATATCACCTCACTGAGAAAATACAAACTAAATGACCCCTTATGTGGGTGTATTCCTATAGGAGTCTTCCTTTGCTTAGACAATATGCACTATGGCAACTTCAGATTTGTAATATGCTTTTCTTGGACCCAAACCTGGAACACCAAGAGGCATCTTCGTCAACATAACTGTCACTACGATAGTGTCAAGACAAGAATAGTCTGTGCTCAGCACTCTTCACATGTGCTTAACTAGTGAACTAATTTCCAGCAAATACATGCTTTATCAGCATTTTCTTTCTCTAGTTCACATAGATGCCCATCCATCTATTCATCCAGTCATTTAACGTTTAAGTGCCTATTACTTGTTAAGGCAACGGGTATGCAGTGATGAGATGAAGTCTACCCTCATGGAATTTACAATCTAGTCCAACTTGTTCCTTCTTCTCCCTTATTTCCTGAATATAGAGTCCAGCCTTTATTGGTGCCATGGTCACAATGTTGAGGCTGCAAAAATTCCTTTGGAAATGCCTGATCTAGCCATTTTCCTAATCACTTTTGTTTTTTTCAAGATTTATTTACTTATTTTAGAGCGGGAGAGAGAGAGCAGGGGCGCGTGCACAATGGGGAGGAACAGGGGGAGAGGGAAAGGGAGTCTTAGGCCAGTTCTGGGCTGAGGGCAGAGCCCAATGCAGGGCTCAAAATCTGGAATGTGAGATGAAGATCTGAGCAGAAACCTGAGCAGACACCAACAGTCTTAATGGACTAAGCCACCCAGATCCCCTTTGACATTTTCCTAATCATTTTTAGATGATTTAAACATGAAAACATCCCATCAACCTACTGAAGAAGTATGTATGCCTTGGTGAAAAGAGTTGGCATTTAAAAGGCAGGTGGCTGTGGTCTTTATTCTCACTTTCTAACCAAGTGTGAGGCCACAGAGTTATTTCAGCTCTGGGAGCCTTGTTTTACTCTTTCATAAAAGGGTATAACCACATTACAGGGTTGTTGTGTGGCTGTAAGTTAAAGTATTTTATACAGAACCTGGTTGGCGTATCATATTAAGTAATTATTACATTTTTTAAACATCTCTGTGTGCGACTTAAAGACTTTAAAAACGTTTTCCTGCAGTTACATGTAAATGACCACGGTGAGCTGCAAAAACAAAAAATCTAAGGCAAGGAGACAATTATTATTTTTAGTTTCCTATTCAATCATAAAATGTCTTTCATTAAGCATCTTCTCCTTTTGAATCTTTTCCTTCAATTATGCCAAGGGTCTCGGAGCCTTAATAACGCAGCTGTGATACAGGTAACCGCTGGCCTCATTCAACTAACTGTAAATACTATATGCGGGTTTTTAAGTTTTAACTGATCATTCATGGGTATTAACCCAGCTTTCAAAAATTTGAATAATGGCGTTCATTCACGGCTGAAGTCGGATTAGTATGCCTCCGAGAGATAAAGTAATTTCTGAAATCAAAGGATGGCTTCTAGGTTCAAATAAACTCTGGCTTCCTCCTTTCGTCGGAGGTGAGCGAGCAGGTCCTAATTGGACCTCTCAACGCACTCAGGCCAGCAAAGCCTTCGATTTCACCCACACCATTTCCTCACTTCCCCCGGCACCCACCCCAGGCGCTGGATCGGGAGGCTCACCCGGGCGGCCGCCCCTCCCTCCACGGACGCCCGGAAAACCAACCGCACGTGGAGGCGCCGCCAGCGGAGCTCGGAAACTCCGGTGACCTCACGTGCGACCGTTTGCGATTGCGGATTGAGGAACCTGGGAGGGTGGGACGCGTCGCCGGAAGTGACGCAAGCCGGAAGCGGCTTTCTGCGGAGAAATTGGGGGCGCGGTTTTGAAAAGAGGTCCGAAGGGGGAATGTGAGTGAATAGAGGCCGGTCTGTTTTCCAAACCAGTTCGCAACGGATTAGCTTCTCAATTTTTTTTTTTTTTCCTGTGTATTCTCTGCAACACGAGGGACATGGCTTCACAGTGATTTCCGTGAGCGTCTCTAAAGAAGGACCAAGGACGGGTGTGGTGGAGGTGAGGAAGCCGCTCTAAACTGGCTACGCTGAGGCAGGCGTGGATGTACCTCCGCAATCGCGAATATAACTTGGGAAGAGCGGCGCGATTTTCCGGCCCTCTGGTGGTCCCGGCGCGTGCGGGCGGCTATTCATTGCTAAGACGCTGCTCACTGTTAATTCGGAAAGAGAAAAAAAATCACCGTTTTCCAGCATTTTTTTTTGGAGAACAAAACAATAGGGAAAATGTCCATTTTCCCTAAAATATCTTTGAGACTTGAGGTTGAAAAGTATCTTAAAGAGGGTTTTATGAATAAGGAGGTAGGTAAAATAAACCTGTTAGAGGATATTTGCGAATTTTCAGATGTTTACACACGCTGGAGAAATAGGGGGAAAAAAAACCCCTAAAGCGAGACCTAATCTTTACACCATTGTTTACCACTCTTTTTTCCGACTGTGAAAACTGCCTGTATCTTCCCGCGGGTATTTAATGTTTGCGAGATAAGAGGTGAATGAGGTCTACGTTTCAACACTTAACGAATGTGACAGAAGGGAAGGGAAAAGAGCGGTTATGTATGTGGCAGTAGGCATGGCGCTGAAGGGGTCACAAGAATGAGGGAAAAAGATTCCTGTCGAGAAATTAAGTCCAGTGGAGAAGATACACCCGTGTTCTTAAAGCGCTTGCTGTGGCTCTCAGGTGAAAGGGGTACTATAATGTGTTAATGCCTCTTAAATGCCACTAGTTGTGCTAGGTGATTTGCAGACCTTTACATCTTAATATTAGCAATCTCTCTTTCTTGTTTTTGGTAGAGATTTCTTCTCCATTTTAATAGGTGAGAGAGCTGAGGGTCCAAAGAGTCCTGTAGCTGACCCAAATTGACACCGCTATCAAGTAATAGGACTGAAATCTGAAGCTGAAGAGCTCAGGTATAATGAAAAAATACAGATTTGGAATCCCAGGTCTTTGATTTGTGTCCCTGTGCTTTGAGTAAATTATTTCATACCGTTTAACCTTAATTTCCTTTAATGTGGAAACTGAGGATGTTAAAAGTATTTACCTTACAAGGTTATTTTAAAATATTAACCATAAGTGAATGCAGTTGGTATTGTTCTGGCACGTTAGTCCTCAACAAATACTCATTCCACGTGCTGTTAGCAGTGTCTAGCACAGAAGTCCTCAGCGAATGTTGTCTTTGATTGCCAAGCTCGTGCTCTTTACATTTTACTCTCCTGCCTCTAGGCAACTTTGTATTTTCTAAATCTTTGCTTTTCTTATTCAAAGTAAAGTCTTAAGACTTAAATGTTATTTGTGTATGAAGCTATTAGTGAAGCTATGACTTTTTAGATTTGATTCCTACATTTTATTTCCAAAGATTACATTAAGGGTTATAGAGTATGGGAAGAGAAAATATCTTCTCTGGATTTCAAAGAACTAAAAATATAAGGAGCATATTAAGAGAAAGAGGCATTCAGCAATTTTTCTCGATTTTTAAAATGGTAAATATTGTATTATAGAAGATCCAAATGTCTGTCTTTGACACCATCTCCGCCGCAAACCCACTAACTGTAAATGATTTTACAAAAAAGCCATTCCTTTGTAAAAGTATTGGAGGTAAAGGTATATTCAGTTTTAATAAAAACAAACTAAACTTGAGAAAGTACTAATACTTTGAGGCTGGGGGATTAGTAAGCTGGCAGGTGGTTTATGAAGATGCTGTGAGGCAGGGTACGGTCAAAGATGACAAAAATGGGAAAATACGTGACTCCTAAAGCTTCAGTTAATCACAGGGGGACTTGGTTTTTTGAGTCTTTAAATTTCCACTTCTGACAGGTTATCTTGTTACCTGTCTTTTTGGATGATATTTGTTACATTTAAAAATACCATATTAAAAAGCTGATGTGGATGACCTTGGATGACAGTATCAATGTTACTTATTCAAATATTGGTGTTTTATTTATTTATTTTTATTTTTATTTTTTTAAAGATTTTATTTATTTTTGAGAGAGCGAGAATGAGACAGAGAGAGAGAGTACATGAGAGGGGGGAGGGTCAGAGGGAGAAGCAGGCTCCTCGCTGAGCAGGGAGCCCGATGCGGGACTCGATCCCAGGACTCCGGGATCATGACCTGAGCCGAAGGCAGTCGCTTAACCAACTGAGCCACCCAGGCGCCCCCAAATATTGGTGTTTTAAAAGGCTGCTAATGAATTTGTTCTAGGTATGAGGCTAGCAAGTAAATAGCTGTACAAAATGATGTAATATTTGGTATATTATAAATAGAATAAAATTATGAATTTATATGAATAAGCATAGCAGACATTAATATGTTCAAAATGTTAATAATGCTTTGAAGTTGAGGCAGTGTTTTTTCCAAGCCCTTTATGTTGGGCATTTTGTTAGGTGTTTATTACCACAATTAAACTCCAAAACCCTGTGAAGTATTACATTCTGTTAGTGTTACTAACACACAAACAATATAGCAAAATGAAGTGGAACTGAACAATTGCTGAAAGATGTTTAATAAGAACACGTGTGTGCATAATCTGCTTAATATTTTTTGTTAATTTTTATAATAACATTGAAACATTAACTTGGGGCACCTGGGTGGCTTAGTTGTTAAGTGTCTGCCTTCGGCTCGGGTCATGGTCCCAGGGTCCTGGGATCAAGCCCCACATCGGGCTCCCTGCTCCACGGGAAGCCTGTTTCCCTCTCCCACTCCCCCTGCTTGTGTTCCTTCTCTCCCTGTGTCTCTCTCTGTCAAATAAATAAAAAATCTTTAAAATAAAAAAAAGAAACTAACTTGTTTTTCTGTTTTCAGGTTGTATCTGCTTTTGGGAAACAAGAAGCAGAAAGGAAATTTGAAACTCTGTTAAATCACTTGTCACATCCTCCATCATTCACAACTGTCAGAGTAAATACACATCTAGCCTCAGTGCAACATGTGAAAGATCTGTTGTTTGATGAACTTCAGAAGGTATGTGCAAATTTGCTATTATTTATGTCCATAATTGTGTTTCTGTGTCATGTTGCTCCCCACTAAAATCCTATGAATTTAAAATACTATTCCAATTTTACAAATAAGGAAATCGAAGATCTCGAATGTTAAGTTGTCCAAGTGGTAATGTTAGAGGTAATGGTAAGAACTTGAACCTAGCACTCCTGGTTCTGAATTTATTACAGTGACTGAATAGGTCACTCAGCCCTTCTAGGCCTCAGTACTTCGTCATTAAAATACATATGAAAATACATAGAATACATATGAAAATACATAGAAAACATTCTAACCTTGAAAGCCTGATTTTGTAATAAGTTACCTAATTAGTATCTAAATTAAAAGCAAGAGGCAAGCATGATTAAAGGGCTTGTATTTGTATATTTTAGGCTGTTATTACTCTAGATATAATATTAAGAAGTCTTCAGAGAATTATCACTGGTTTAGTTTTATTATTCTTTAATCTCATTACATTTATTTTTATTTATATTTTTGTTTTAAGAATTTTATTTATTTGGGGGAGAGAGAGAGAGCACGCATGTATGAGTTGAGGGGGGTGGTGGGGAGGAGCAGAGGGAGAGGGATAAGCAAGCTCCATGCTTAGTGTGGAGCCTGAGGCAGGGCTTGATCTTACAACCCTGAGATCATGACCTGAGCCAAAATCAAGAGTTGGATGCTTAACCAACTGAGCAACCCAGGTGCCTGTAATCTCATTACATTTAGAATGTTTGTCATACTATCTTTAAGAACAGTTTTATAAATTTTAAGTTGTGATAGATGACCATGTTATAAGAACGATCAGCTATGGTATCTGAGTATGTGAGACCCAAACTTAGTATAATAATAAGACTTAGAAGAAAACTAATCTGATTTTGAGTTATTGATAGTGATAATTTTATTGAGAGTAATGTCATAGGGCATAAAATATAAGCAGTTCCTCTAGGCAACTAAAATTATTACTTTTATGTGGTTATGCATATGTTTTCAACTAGTAGAAAGTGTTCTGAGGCCCATCACAAGTGTCCATAACTCATGCAGATCCAGATTATTTTGTTTTCTAACAAATTATTCCTAGAACCTAGATATTGTATTCCAGTCCAGTGGGCCTATATGATCTTACAGACCAAGTATCTAGGATAAGGCATACAGAATCACTCTGGGTGGACTTTGAGTCCCTCAAAGTTTAAGAGTAGACAGAGAAGGTTGGGTCGTAAGCCCTTGATAGGCAGAGCAGGGAGCCTGATGCAGGGCTCGATCCCCATGACCTGAGCCAAAGGCAGACTCTTAACTGACTGAGCCACTCAGGCACCCTTACATTTCAGATTTCTTAGTAGCCATCTGTTAGGTAAGGTTGGTCTGAAATCTCCTTTGCCTGGAAGAAGCAAAAGTCAAAGCTGTTGACTTGGTAGATATATAGATTGCTAAAATACAAATTTTTTCTCTTACCAACTTGGAAATAAATTGATTTTAAGAGTTTTTCTAGGTAGTATATGGATACCACAGGGCAATGGAAATATCTATTATTGTTACTATTCTTTCATGTAGTATGTGAAAATTCATGATTTAAAATCCCTAGCCTACATGGCAGAGACTTGTTCTGAAATATTTGCATGTTGCTCGCCCTTAGACTATAGTGTCCTTGCTATCCTGCTATTCTGCTTTTTATTCTGATAAGTGCAGTGCCCAGTTATTTTCTGCCAGCAACAATGGTGTGCTGGTACATATCGAAAAATCCACTTTCTGGGAAAAACAACCCTTTGTAGCATTTGCTGATTTCAGTGGTGTAAATGCTCCCACTGTGGTCAAATCAAGCTGCCAGTGTGACCTTGAAATTTGCCAGAGATGCACATAATTGGTTCTCCTGAGACTGTGAGCTGGCCTTGGCACGTATACTCCTGGTCATGCACCCATTTCTAGTCTGAAGACCAAGTATGATAGAGGATACTGAAAATCCTGAACTTTTGCCAAAAAGCATTTATTTCCCTCAGCAAAACTGACATGGCATTCAGTATTAGTGGTATATAATTTTAATAATCTCATTCCTTAATGTCCTATTCAGAACTTTTCCTTAGAAGTGTACTATAAGGGGGCGCCTGGGTGGCTCAGTCCTTGGGTGTCTGCCTTCGGCTCAGGTCATGATCCCAGGGTCCTGGGGTCGAGCCCCACGTCAGGCTCCCTGCTCGGCGGGAAGCCTGCTTTTCCCTCTCCCACTCCCCTTGCTTGTGTTCCCTCTCTCGCTGTGTCTCTCTCTGTCAAATAAGTAAAATCTTTAAAAAAAAAAAAGTACACTATAGGGGCGCCTGGGTGGCTCAATCGTTAAGCTGCTACCTTCGGCTCAGGGTGTGATCCCGGGGTTCTGGGATCGAGCCCTGTGTAGGGCTCCCTGCTCAGCAGGGAGCCTGCTTCTCCTTCTCTCACTCCCTCTGCTTGTGTTCCCTCTGTAGCTGTCTCTCTCTCTCTCTGTCAAATAAATAAATAAAATCTTTAAAAAAAAAAAAAAGAGTACTGTATGCAATTCTGTATTGGATATGTATTATCAAAATAAGTCACCTAAGGTAAACATGGGTTGTGTTTTATAAAGCCAAACTGTAAACAAAATTGAACCTTATAAAGAAATCGAGATACTTCAGAAAATACAGAGGAAAACAGTTGTTTTGAAATCTTTGTTTTTTATAGTATGTGGAATAAAGTGAGAATATCCTAAACCAAGCTTCATGCTCTGCTAGGTAATGACAATGAAAAGACCTGTAAATTGAAATTTATCAATTACATTGATGGCTTCATAATTCTGTTTATTTTTAACAGCAGTTTAATGGATTAAGTGTTCCTATTCTTCAACATCCAGACCTTCAGGATGTCTTACTTATTCCTGTTATTGGACCTAGGTTTGTAACTATTTCATTTTCAAATTAAATTCTTCTAAAAATTTGTAACAGGTTTTTTTCTTACTGTGTGGTGATAATCCTAAGTTTCTGTATTATTAGCAACTTCATATAGACAGTTCAGAAATTCATAAATGCAACTTCATATTCTATCATGGAAGATATTACAAAAGACTAGGAATGGACCCAGGTTCCTTGAAAGTAATGCATTTTAGGTCCATTTGGTGTGGTGATGGGTAGTTTTTCCTCCTCCTTAGTAAGAAACTTCATTTGTTTACTTATATGTATTAAGAGAGTCCACTGCTAATTTAAATCTGTTTTTGAGCTGCCACAAAAAATACAAAGTAACATATTTCCCACTTTCATAGCTGATGTGTTTGTAAAATTTTATTAATTCACAATTAGGTTAAATTACTATGTATATTCTATGAGTAGAATGGGCATTGTTCTCATTTATATATTTGTAAGGCATATGTTTGAAAATTGGAGGTGGGGAAAGCTTTCATATTTTCATGGGAGTTCAATTCCCAAGGAATGTTTTTAAATCCCTAATTACAGTTTAATTTTTTTATGCCCCTAAGAATTATAATAAATAGAAAAACGCTCATTTTGTTAAAGCTTGAAAATAATTTAGTGGTCAGTAGTTAAGCAGTGGTTCAGTAAATTATGGTTTATTGTGCAGTGGAATATTATATGGGCTTTAATGGGAGAGAATTATATGTACCAATAAGAGAAGATAGTCACAATTAAGTATCAAAAGGAGGTTGCCATGTATAGGATAATTACACTTTTTGTTGCAATTACAAAAAACAACTACACATTTATGTATATTTACTTATATATAGAAAAAAGTCCAAAGGCTTTAACATACCTAACTATTAATAGAGGTTAATTTTGAGTGGTTAACTCTGAAGAGGTTGGATTGGGAGAAAAGGGGTAAGAGATTTTCACTTGTAACATTTGTGTTATTTTTACTATAAGCATGTATTCCTTTTGCAATTAAAAACAAAAGGATTCTGTGAGTTCCTTATTCTGTTTCTTAAGATGAAATTTTATTTTTTTAAAGATTTTATTTATTTGTCAGAGACAGAGGGAACACAAGCAGGGGGAGTGGGAGAGGGAGAAGTGGGCTTCCTGCTGAGTAGGGAGCCCATTGCGGGGCTCGATCCCAGGACCCTGGGATCATAACCTGAGCTGAAGGCAGATGCTTAATGACTGAGCGACCCAGGCACCCCGAGATGAAATTTGTAGACCGTGAAATGGAGAGATCTCATTTAAGTGTACCATTTGCTGAGTTTCCCCAAATTTGTACAGCTGTGTAGCCAAGACCCACCTCAATCAAGGTAGAGAGATGTCCATAATTCTCCCTGATTCTATATAATGTATTTCATTCTTTTTATTTTATTTTTTTTTAAAGATTTTGAGAGAGAGCACAGGAGTGGGGCGTGGGCAGAGGGGCAAAGGGAGAGGCAGAAGCAGGCTTCCCCCTGAGCCGGGAGTTGGACTCTGGGCTCAATCCCAGGACCCTGGGATCATGACCTGAGCTGAAGGCAGATGCTTAACTGACTGAGCCACCCAGGTGCCCCTATTTCATTATTTTTATTTTTATTTTATTATTATTATTATTTTTTTTTTTTTTTCTTAAAGATTTTATTTGACAGCGAGAGGAGGAACACAAGCAGGGGGAGTGGGAGAGGGAGAGCAGGCCTCCCGCAGAGCAAGGAGCCCGACACGGGGCTCGATCCCAGGACCCCGGGACCACGACCTGAGCCGAAGGCAGACGCTTAACGACTGAGCCACCCAGGCGCCCCTATTATTATTATTTTTTAAGATTTTATTTATTTGACAGAGAGAGACACAGCGAGAGAGGGAACACAAGCAGGGGGAGTGGGAGAGGGAGAAGCAGGCTTCCTGTGGAACAGGGAGCCCGATGTGGGGCTCAATCCGAGGATCCTGGGATCATGACCTGAGCCGAAGGCAAACGCTTAATGACTGAGCCACCCAGGCACCCTTATTTCATTCTTTTTAATATCTGCATACTTTTTAAATATTTTTTTCATCCCTCTATTGATGGACATTTAATTTTTTCCTGTTTCTCATTATTACCAACAGTGAATATTCTAAGGAGGTTTCTTTGTGAACTTGCATAAGCATGTCTACAGGATAAGTTGGTACAACAAGGAATCACTGGTTCACTGGTCTGTGCATATTTTAGTTTGAGACATACTGCCTTCTAAAAAGTTTTACCAGTTAATGTTTCTAGCAATATATGAGAAATTCTCAATCTTTCATTCTTGCTAATACTGGGCATGCTAGTCCTTTTAAAGTATTTAGATGATTTAACTTTAATTATTTTCTGAATTTAGTACCCTTTCGTCCTATTCTTTGTAGTGATCTAGACACTCAGAATGTTAGTGAACTATAAAACACAAATGATGGGCTATGAGAGGAAAGTATTCAAAAATCATCTAGGATTATAGATTCACCTACCTACCTTTCACTTCTAAAAGGAGCAAGTCAATTCTTTTTTGTTTTTAAAACTCATTATCACTATTATTTTTATGACTTTCCACTATGAAAAATGAGGAAATTCTTACACTTAAATTTTATCCCCTAAAACCTCCACCAGCCAATTTTTATTTACTGTGTTAGTTCTTTAAGCATTGCATAGGCTTATAACATTGTTATTCTAGAAGCACAATTCAAATGGATGCTGTGCTTACTTTTAGTCCCAATAGTTCATTCCTGAGTTCTTTGTCTTGATTACTGTCTTGGTTGGTGAGTATAGTAATTTATCAGGTCTGCAGCACCTGTTTCCCGTTCCAAAGTTAAGTATTCTCATCTCCAAAGTATTTGCTTTCTTGCTGGTGAATTGCCTGTTGCCTTTATATTTAAACAATAGATTGGCCGATTATAGTACTTTCAGGTTCCATGTTATTTCTCTTAGCACTTTGTAGACATTGCTTTCACAATGTTACGGCATCAGGTGTTGCTGTGAAGAAAAAATCAGAGGCCCCCGCCAACAGCATCTTAGTTTTCGCTTGGAGATCTACAAATTCTCCATCATTTAACTTTAGAAACTGGGCTAGGATATAGCGTGATTATTACCATTCTCTCTTACTTTTTAATGAAACCGTGTAACTTTTTAGTTACAAGTCTGCCAGTAGTTCTGTGACTATTTTTCTGTATTCTCTATAAGAACACTAGGGGGCGCCTGGGTGACTCAGTAGGTTAAGTGTCTCTGCCTCCAGCTCAGGTCTGGGATCCTGCCCCAGGAGCCCCCTGTCGGACTCCTTGCTCAGCGGGCAGTATGCTTCTCCTTCTCCCTTTGCCCCTCCCCCTGCTTCTGCGCTCATGTGCTCTCTCTGTCTCTGTCTCTCTTTCTCTATCTCTCAAAGGAATAAATAAAATCTTAAAAAAATAACCACTAGGACTGTAGGTTGGATTTCCAGTGCATGTAGCCCCTTGTGTTGGTGATTGACTAGAAGGACTCACACGACTCATTATGTAGTTGTGCTCATGGTGAAGATTTATTATAGGAAAGGACACAAAAACAAAATCTGCAAAGGGAAGGGTACATGGGGCAAAGTCTGGAGGAAGCCAGGCACAAGCTTCCAAGAGACCTCTCCCCCACAGGGTTCCTAGGATATGCTTAATTCCTCTAGCAACAAATTGTGACGAGAGTAAAACAGTTGTCTAGGAGGGAAGCTCATTCGAGACTCAGTGGCCAAGTTTTTTATTGGGCACTGGTCATGTTGGCACCCTCTGGCCGGCATGTACCAAAATTTCAGGCTCCCAAAAGGAAAACAGGTGTTCAGAACAAAGCATATTGCTTGTACAAACATTTAGGAACAATAATCTACTCTTATCATTATGGAAGTTTTTCAGTCACTGCTGGGAACTGTTTCCCAGTCACGTTTCCAGATGCCAGCCAAGGGTTGACCTTGCAAGCAGGCCTTTCTAAAAATAGCAGTCTCAAGCCTGTTGTGTTCTTTCTTATTTTGGAGGCTCTCTTATTGTTTATTTCCCAGTTCACTACTTTCTGTTTCTTATCTAGTTTTTCTTCTATCCCGTTTTTGAGTTTTTCCTTTTCCTTTTGAAAAATATAAAGACGTATTTGAAACTTTTTTCTTTGGGTTTTTTTTTTTTTTTTTTTGGTATTACCTATGTATGGGTCCCATGTTGAATGAATCCTTTCTGCTTCTTTAACTCACTGAGTGGAAACAGTTGCATTCACATAGCTTCTTCTAGTAGGCAGTTTGCTCAAAAATGATATAGAATGGGGTAAAAGTGTGTCCCTAGACACCTAAACAGATGTGTTTTCAAAAATGCTTTCACCAGGTTTTCCCTAGTGGCACATTTCTAGCCCTGGTGAGCAGAGCTGATAAAGACTGAGGCTCTTTGTGAAGGGTTCCAGCTCACAGCTTTTTTTTGCATGGGGCTTTAATTATTTCTGCTTAGTTAACTCTATTGAGGAGCACCAAACTTGGTTGCTACTTCCCTTTCCTTAGCTACTTCTAGGCAGTTTATCCAGATTTGTCAGGGAAAGTGCAGATGCCTGCTTTGCCGCAGCTGACAACCCTGTTCCTCTTTCAGCTTTATCTGCTGTGAATGGGACTCTAACAACACCTCAGATTCTTGTTTCTCAACCTGAGCCCCCAGTCCGGGTTCTAAGTAATAAATATTTGATTAGGCCTCCAGGAGCTTTTCCTTTTCAGAGATTTTCATACCCTGTTGAGGAACTAGGTTTGATCCACATTTCTCTGTGTCAGACAGTTATTCCTCCTCAGTGGGAATATAGCCGTTTCTTAGCTTTATTATAAATGGCATGTCCTTCTCAGATCGTTGTTTCTTTCTTCATTTCTACGGACTTCAGAAAAAGAAATACACTCTTAGTCTTTTACTGATCTTTTACTGGAAACTCAATATCACATAATTATTTTTATTTATTTATTTATTTATTTTTTAAGATTTTATTTATTTGACATAGAGATAGCGAGAGCAGGAACACAAGCAGCGGGAGGGGGAGAGGGAGAAGCAGGCCTCCCCCCGAGGAGGGAGCCCGATGTGGGACTCGATCCCAGGACCCTGGGATCGTGACCTGAGCCGAAGGCAGACGCTTAACGACTGAGCCACCCAGGCGCCCTCACATAATTATTTAAAATATCAAAATATAGGTTAAACTGTGTTTGTAGATAATGAACAATTTTAAAAGTAATTTCTCACCATAAATTCAGGTTCCCCCAGTTTATTTAAATATGATACATAATATACTGATTAACTATATATTTAATGTTTTTTAAAGTTTTATCATTGGTAATATAATGAGATGGAACATAAGGTTGTAGTGTTGAATTTAATAGTATCAGTGTCAACTTTATTAAAAAACTTAGGAGAAAATTGAATGCCAGGCTTCTTTTGATGAGTGTTTTTTTAACATTCTACCCAAACAGCATTTTCTGAAGACTGATTTTATGTTAGTAGAATTTTTTAAGTCAACATTCAATTCATAATTTTTAAGAATCTCTACATTTTTTTGTTCGTGCACCTCCCTTTTTAACAAAAATTTCAACAAAGTATTTTTAACAGGTCAGAAAATTTTCTTTTCCTTCACAATGAATAACTAACCTAGTAGCATAATTCTCTTGATCCAAATGAGGCTGGATTTGCGTCTCTCAGCGTGCTTGATTTCAGTCTTTCATAGTTGTCTTGCTACTACCAGCACTTTAATATTTCAGTTGCTGTTTGTGTATATGAAATAATACGGTATATGCAATAGAATATTCAAGTAATTGCACAAAAATGGATGATTAAGTACAGATGGCAATCCTGCTGAAAAAGAGATATTGGTTGGCATGCAATAATATACAACATCTTAAAATTATAATCATTATGTCCTATTTGGTGTGGAGTTGCTAATATGTGCAGTTAAATGCCAAATGGAGGGGCGCCTGGGTGGCTCAGTCAGTTAAGCGTGTGCCTTCAGCTCGGGTCATGATCCTGGGGTCCTGGGATTGAGCCCCGCATTGGGCTTCTTCCTCATCGGGGAGTCTGCTTCTCCCTCTTCCTCTGCCCTGTGCGCTCTCTCTCTCTCACGCTGTTTCAAATAAATAAAATCCTAAAAAAAAAAACCACCGCCAAATGAATAAATTCATATTTTTATATATATTTTAGTGGGACATTCTCATAATTCCACTCTTTGTAATTGATAGACACCTCATTTTTAAAGCTATTTTACTAGTTTTTTTCTTAATCTGAGTGCCTTCATACTATTTCCCTCCTATCTGTATTACTGTAGTATCAGAAAATCCTTTCTTTAATGTTGGTTCACTTCTTTATTTGTAAATATTGTAATAAAAAATTAAGCTTTTAGCATGTTTTATGGCTCTGCATCAACTCTTACATTTCCTTTTATCTTTGCTGCCTCAAACTCTCCCCTTCAGCAAAGCTGAATTACACCTTGATACTTGCATATATGGCATCTTATGTTTTTATACAATTAGTCCTAGTGTTGAGGGATCCCCAAGACCACTCCCTGGCTTGATGACTCTAGGATGACTCATAGGATTCAGCATATAGTAGTACTTGTGACTATGGCTCGTTCCAGTGAAGTGATCTGAAGCAGAATCAGCAAAGGGAGGGGGCACATGGGAAAAAGTACAGGGAAAACCAGTTGAAAGCTTACAGAATTCTCTTCCAATGCAGTCACATAGGAAACACTTAATTCCCTCAGGAACAGGTTTGACAACTTGTAAGATGTTGCCAACCAGGGAAATTCATTAGCGACTCAGTGTCCAGGATTTTTATTTGGGACGGTCATGTAGGCATTCCCTGCCTGGCACATGCCCACATTCTGGCCTCTCAGAAGGAAAGTCATTGTTGGCCATAAACCATACTATTTGTACAGATGATTTAGTTAATAGCAGGTATCCTTCTGAAATCTAAGTTCCCAGATGGCAGCCAAGAACCAACCTTGTAACCATGCTGTCCAAAGAAAGGATAGTAATTCACGACTCTTATGTTAACTCTTTTTTTCCATAGTCTTTCTGTCCTCTCCATGAAATGGTTATTCCCATAAAAACATTCTGATTAAAACTACAAGGTTCCATTTCCCAAGACATTTTTTAATTGGTGCTATGTGTAAGACCCAAGGGTGTTACAAAGATGAATGAAATGTAGTTGATTCATTTAAAAACGGGAAACCTTCATATGAGTCAGACTGTTAAAAGTGCTACAGTGAAGGTATTATTGAAGTACCATCAGCACAGAATAGAAAGGACTGAGTGAAAGGAAGTTGGTAAAGATTTTCTTCAAGTAGATAATATTTCAGTTGAGCCTTGAAGGTGATTAGGCATTAGGCTGATGGGTTAAGATGGTCAAGGGTATGTGAGGTGGAGAGAAAGCAAAAGTATGGAGGCATGAAAATGTAAGGTGGCTCGTGACAAAGTGATCAGGTTTGGCTACTTAGTTGCTTTTTCAGAGAGGGTGGTGAAACATGAGATTGAAGAAGTTGGGAGAGGCAAGCTGTGAAGTGTAAAAGATTTTTTTTTAAGTAAGGAATGTTTAGTTTTTTGCTTAGAACCAAAGAATAGGAGCCAAAGAATACTGGTAGTAGCATAAAGCTATTTTTCCAACTGCATGGAGATCATGATCCACTAGTAGGTTGTAAAATCAATTTAATGACTTTTTTTAGCATTTTTTAAAAAAGAAATGGGTATTTCATAATGTATCATATTGCACTGTACATACTGAAGGTGTTTCATGAAACATTTGATGTAAATATAAGTGTGTATAAATGCATGTGTGTATACATACATACACACGTGTCCTGAGTTGTGATATTAAGTGCATTTCTGTGGGTTACAGTCCAAAAAGATTGAAAAAAATTTTAAAAGAAGATAAATTCTAAGACTGGAAATAAATTAGGAAATCGTTTCAGAGTGTTTTATTTCCAACAGTGTGGTAATCTAGATAACCTGAAAATGTTTCTGCTACAGACACCTAGGAATACTAAATAAAAAATAAGGCCATAAAATGCACAACTGAGTGATTGAGAATATAAGTGAGATATTTAGGGGTTAGAATGAAGAGTAACTGAAAACAGAGCTAATATTTGGGGATTAGGAGATGTGGGAGAGGAGGTGGTCAGTGTTCTAAATTTAGGGGTTTTCCTTTTATTTTTTTTTTTTAAGATTTTATTTATTTTTTGACAGACAGCAAGAGAGGGAACACAAGGAGGGAGAGTGGGAGAGGGAGAAGCAGTCTTCCCGCTGAGCAGGGAGCCTGACGCAGGGCTCAATCCCAGGACTCTGGGATCATGACCTGAGCCTAAGGCAGACAGACGCTTAATGACTGAGCCATCCAGGCACCCCCTAGGGACTTTCCTTTTAATGTAGGAAATAACAGGGTATGAACACTAGGAGGTGAGAAATATCCAGCAGTCAGTGCAAGACAATAATTAAGGAGTTGGGAGTTCTCTTATCTTTTTTCAAATTTTATTATTTATTATCTATTTTATTTATTAGAGAATGCACAAGTTGCGGGGGGGGGGGGAGGGGGAGGAAGAAGCAGATTCCCTGCTGAGCAGGGAGCCTGATGCGGGGCTCGATCCCCGAGATCATGACCCGAGCTGAAGGCAGCCGCTTAACCGACTGAGCCACCCAGGCACCCTTGGATCTGTCTTGTCTTAGAGTCTGGATTGAAGAAAACAAATCTGTGATTGTGGAACTGTAGTTCCATACCTCATAAAGGTTTGGAATTGAGATTCATGCTACCCAAGTGGTCAAACATGAGAATATACAGATCGTTTTCTAAGTGATTATTGAAAGCCTGAGGTCACCAAGAGTAGAATGCAAGGTGAGAAGAGATGCAGCATGTTTTGGAACATGGGGGAATGGAACTCTTTTAAGAAGTAGATAGGGAACGAGCAGTGAGAACGTGAGAGACAAACAAGTGGTACAAAACTGAGAAGCTCAGTGAGATAGGACTATCTGGAGATCACGGAAGGAAGATATGACAGGCTCCGTTCCCCCAGCAAGGAGTTGTAACCACACATGTGAGATGTAGCCAACCACGAACATGCATGAGGGACTCAGTGCTTAAGGTCTTTATTTAGGGCTGATCAGATAGGCACCCCCTGACTTTTGAAAAAGTCTTTCTGTGTATTAGAAGTGATACTCAGTTGTTAGTGGTCTAAGGAATGAATGGAAGGTGAGAAATTGGAAAACACTCAAAAAAGTTGGACAGTAAAGGAAAAGTAAAAGACATCTTCTTCTGGTTAAAATATGAATAGTTGAGAGACTCTGGACTCTGCAGGAACCAAACTGAGGGTTATAGAAGGGTGTGTGTGGGGGGGGGGCATTGGGTAACCGGGTGATGGGTATTAAGGAGGGCACATGTGGTGATGAGCACTGGGTGTTATACGCAAGTAATGAATCATTGAACACTACATCAAAAACTAATGGTGTACTATATGCTGGCTAATTGAACATAATAATAAAAAAATAATTTAAAAAATTTAAAAAAATAAATAAAATATGAATAGTTGACCACACAGCAGTACACCATTTTAGAGATGCTTTTGAATTCCTTGTATATTGTCTGTTTTAGTCTTTGAAGGTAAGGACTTTATTTTTCTTCCTTCTAATGCTATTATGGAAACAGCAGTGCTCTTTAAATGATTAAGCAGTTTTTGGTGCTACTTTATTGCCTTCTACCAGATAGACCTCTTTCTATTTTTTTTTTTCCTCAAGTGTGCCCCATCTCCCTCTCTAAACTACTTCCTCTATATTTATCCTTCTTTTTTTCTGCTTGCTTTTTCTTATTTATTCATTCATTGGCATTATCTTGGGACAGTCAGGAGAAAAGAGGTTATTTAGGGTTTAGATTGAAACATTAAAAAGTTTGGTAGGGGTTGGAGGTGTATTACTGTGTTAAAATTGCTCATCTTACATCCCTAGGAAGAATATAAAAAAACAACATTGTGAAGCAGTTGTTGGAGCACAATGTGGCAATGCGGTGTTAAGAGGAGCCCATGTCTATGTTCCAGGAATTGTGTCAGCTTCAAAACGTAAGTATAATGTTTCAGCCTCTCTGTACAAGAAAAGATTCTTTAAAATCTGTATACATTATCAAGTGGAAAATGTATTAAACTATCATTCAGATGTATTTCAAATTTACTTTTATCAGATATTTTTTTTTTTAAAGATTTTATTTATTTATTTGACAGAGAGAGACACAGCGAGAGAGGGAACACAAGCAGAGGGAGTGGGAGAGGGACAAGCAGGCTTCCCGCCGAGCAGGGAACCCGATGTGGGGCTCGATCCCAGGACCCTGGGACCATGACCTGAGCCGAAGGCAGACGCTTAACAACTGAGCCACCCAGGCGCCCCCAAATATTTTTCAAGTTTTACATTTGGCATAGCCAGAAAGAGATTTATCTGATATGGTCTCACAAATTGGGCATCCATATGTGGTTTCTTTGCCAATTTTTTTCTTTCCATAAAAGAGTGTGAGATGATGTTTAGAGGATCATTACTGATTAATAGAGTGTAAGATGTCAGTGAAATTTTATTTTGTATTCTTAACTCCATTGCCCTCAGACTTCTGTTGTCATTTGTGAGGGTAACCTTCTGAACTTGGGATCTTAATATTGAAATAAAAGCCAGTATTCTTAATTTACTCACTCAGTTGATGACATATGCTTAATAAGTTAGTCACTGTGGTTCAGTCTTAATTTATTGGGCTTGAAATCAAGACATGTGTTTTGCTCTGTTGGGAAGTTATTCAGTCTGTGGGCTTTAGTTATGTTATCTGTGAAATAATTTGACGTGCATTCGGGTGTGCTAAACTGCCCGCTGGCCAAATCTGGCCTATGTCTGTTTTTGTGTGGCTCACAGCTGAAAATGGTTTTTCCATTTTTAAAAGCTTGTTTAGAAAAAATACAAAGAAGAATATGCCAACAGACCTTATGTGGCTCATAAAGCCTAAGGAATTCACATGCCCTTTATAGGAAAAGTTCTTTGACCTCTGATCTATGCGATTTGAACAGTCCTTCTAGCTCTAGTGGATAGACTGCTCACTACTGTTACCAAGTTAATGGGCTAGACAAATTTATGACAGGCTAGGTCTAAGAACATGAAAGTGAGATAGAGTTCCCCATTATTAAAGTCCCTGGGATTGGTTACTGAAAATAATTTAATGAAATGGCTACAAAAACCTAGACTTAATTAGCTGTAAGAATCAACTCCATACACTGTGTATATATACACGTATATACGTAGGTACATGTACGTACGTATACACATGTTCATGTATATACACACATGCACACACATATATGAATGAATGTACTTACTAAAATCTCTGTCTTAATTGCTATAATAGGAAACCTGCAAAGAAATAACAATAGGGTTAGGCGATTTAGAAACATTTCTTTGAGGGATTTTAGTGTACATTTTTGATGAATCTTTTTAAGGGGAACTTAGAACTTTGAGGATTGAGCCAAAGATACCAAAATTTATATGAATTTGTTTAGGGAATGTTAGGTTTGGAAAAAATAAATAGGAGATACCCTTCATTTTCTGCTTAGCTAAAGAGTTCCAGTTTAGATAGGATGTTTTAAAGATTTGTATTTTTTTGTTCTCCTAGGAAAAAAGTCTTCAGTTAGATATATTGTGATGGAACATTTAAAAGTAAAAAGTCATATTTTCTATAAGGGATTATTTTGAGATAGTGAGCCAGTTTAGACCTCTTCATGCCCACAATTGATGCCCTTAGATGTCCCTAGTCTAGCTTAAATAATTTTCACTATTCTTATACCAAAATATAGTCTAATAAGTATAATCTGATTTTCTTCTTTCTAGTTATGAAAGCTGGAGATGTTATTTCTGTATACTCTGATATAAAAGGCAAATGTAAGAAAGGAGCCAAAGAATTTGATGGAACAAAAGTATTCCTTGGAAATGGAATTTCTGAACTAAGCCGCAAAGAAATCTTCAGTGGGCTACCTGAACTGAAGTATGTCATCAAGTGTTTGGAGGAAATATGCATTCTTTTTGGTGGTTCAAGAAAAATAAAAACAATGTAAAAAATATATCTAGTTGCATTATAAAAATATTTTTGGGGGGTATAAATTTGACTGGAAAATAATTGTTCAATGCATATTTCCATGCTTTTTTGAAAAATTGCTTTTGGGTAGAAGAATAAATGCTTAGATTAAAGGGCCCACCTACATAAGCAAGCAGTCATGCTGTAATTGTTAGTTTCAGTTTTCCTTTTGAATTTTATTAATTTATTGATTTGAAAATTTTTGCACCTTTTGGGGATTTGCATCTTGATAAAGGATGAATTATGTGACTTATCCAGAACTGTTTAAACAGTCTGATTTTTGTGAAACAAAAAGATTATGATTTTAATATAAATTAAAAAGAAAAGTTTTTATTAAGACATTTTTTTACCAGAAAGCCAGCAATCACATGGCTACTTGTGGTCAAGAATTAATACTTGGATCTGGGGTGCCTGGGTAGCTCAGCCTGTTGAGCAACCGACTCTTGATTTCAGCTCAGGTCATGATCTCAGGGTCATGGGATCGGTCCCCATGTCAGGCTCCATACTCAGTGTGGAGTCTGCTTGAGATCCTCTTTCTCTGCCCCTTCCCTGGTTCATGCTCGCAAGTGCTCTCAAATCTTTAAAAAAAAAAAAACAAAAAAAAACAACATTTGGATTTACTCAAACCAAATTAAAAAAGTTTTTAATCATCTTGGGTTGCTACTGACTCTAAATAAATTAAATCTGTGGGCAGTCCAGAATCATTTTGCTTCATATTTTCAGCTATTTAAGGAGTTCTGTGGACAGCTCCATTACTCCACAGTTGACAGCTGATGTAGACATGCCGAAAACTGAATTTATCCATGCAGAACTGGACTACGTCCCTGATTCCTGGAACAGTTTTCATGTTGCAACAGTCTGGGTTTATAGTTGAAGTTAATTCTTCTGAAGAAACAGATTATTGGATTAACTAACTCTAGATAGCAGTACTTTCCAAATGGCCAAGAGCAAAGATTTTATTCTCCTTAGAAGACTTTATGAATATAAAGATAAAGTATATATATATATATGTGTGTTTATCTTTGGGTCTGTAATAGGAAGTAAACATTTTGACTTCCTCCTTTGGTTCTATTTTTAGTGGTATACTCTTCATCCTCTCTTTTTTTTGTGACTGGCTTAATTTTTTTTTTACTTAATTATAATTGATACATAATACTGTATTTCAGGTGTACAACACAGTGATTCAATATTCATATGTATTAGAAAATGGTTACCACAATAAGGCATTACCATCTGTGGTTATACAAAGTTGTTACAATATTATTAACTATATTCCTCGTGTTGTACCTTACATTCCATGTTTTATTGATAATTTATTTCATCTTGTTTATAATTTATTTAATCCCCATAACTCATTTATAACTGGAAAGTTAATCTTTCTCACTTTATTCATTACCCTTATCCCCTTCTCTGGCACCCATCAAATCTGTTTCTGTTTTGTTTTGTTTGTTCATTTGTTTTTTAGATTCCATATACAAGTTAAATCATACCGTATTTGTCTTTATCTGTCTGACTTATTTCACTTAGCATAATACCTTCTGGGGCCATCTATGTTGTCATGAATGGCATTTCATTCTTTTTTATGACTGAGTAATATTCCTCTCTCTCTCTCTCTCTCTCTCTCTCTCTCTCTGTGTGTGTGTACACTGCATTTTCTTAATCCATTCATTTATAAGTGGACAGTTTTCTTCCTGTGATGGATTTCTACTTATAATTGATTTCTAGTTTCATACTGTTGTGATAGGAAGAAAAGCTTGATATGATTTCAGTCTTGTTAAATTTATTGAGATTTCTTTTGTGGCCTAACATGATCTATCCAGGAAAATGTTAAAGGTACATTTGAGAAGAATGTGTAGTCTGCTGTTCGGGGATGGAATATTCTGTATGTATGAAGTCCATGTGGTTTGATGTGGTGTTTGCTCTTATTACATTATTTTCTGTCTGGATGATCTATCCACTGATGTTAAATATGGTTTTAAAGTCCCCTGCTATTGTTACTATTATAATGATTCTCTTTATGATTATGTAATATCCTTCTTTGCCTCTTATTACAGCCTTTGTTTTAAAGTCTGTTTTGTGTCCTACATGTATTGGTACCCCTGCTTTCTTTTTGTTTTCATTTGCATGGAATATTTTTTTATAGCCCTGTACTTTCAGTCTGTATTTGTCTTTGGGTCTGAAGTGAATCTCTTGTAGTCAGCTTATAGATGGGTCTTGTTTTTTATCCATTCATTCATGCTATGTGTTTTGCTTGGATTGTTTAGTCCACTTTCATTTAAAGTAATTATTGATACATGTGTACTTATTGCCGTTTTGATATTTGTTTTCTGATTGTTTTTGTAATTCTTTGTTCTTCTCTTGGGATTTGATTATTTCAGTGTTAGGCTTGGATTACTTCCTCTTTACTTTTTGTGTATCTATTACAGGTTTTTGGTTTGTGGTAACCATGAGATTTGTCTATAATAACCTATGTATGTAACAGTCTATTTCAAGTTGGTGGTTGCTTAAATTCCAAACATTCCAAAACATTTCTCTCTTCCCTGCAGCATTTTATGTTTATGCCATCATATTTTACATCTTTTTATTTTATGTATTCCTTAACTATTATAGATATAGTTGATTTTACTACTTTTATCTTTTAACCTTCAGACTAGCTTTGTAAGTGGTTGATCCACTACCTTTACTATATATTTGCCTTTACTAGTGAGATTTTTTTCTTTCATATATTTTACTTCTTATTATGGCCTTTTCCTTTTTGCTAATAGAAGTCTGTTTAATACTATAAAACTAGTTCAGGGGTGATGAACTCCTTTAACTTTTGCTTCTCTGGGAAGCTCTTTATCTTCCCCTTCAGTTGTGAATGATAACCTTGATGATTATTCTTGATTGTAAGCAGTCTGAATGTATTGTGTCACTCATTCTCTTCTGGCCTGCAAACTTTATGCTGAGAAATCAGCTGATAGCCTTATGGGGATTCCCTTATATGTAACTAATTTTTTTTCTGCTGCTTTTAAGAGTCTGTCTTTGTTTTTTAATTTTTGACATTTTAGTTATGATGTATCTTGGTGTGGATCCCTTTGGGTTCATTGTTTTGGGGATTCTCTTTTTCCTAGATCTGGATGTCTGCTTCCTTTGCCAAATGAGGGAAGTTTTCATCTATTATTTCTCAAATAAATTTTATGCCACTTTCTCTCTCTCTCTCTCCTCCTTTGGGGACTCCTATAAAGGGAATGTTAGTGCATCTGTTAGCTCACAGGTCCCTTAAACTATCCTCATTTTTAAAATTCCTTTTTCTTTTTGTTGTTCAGTTTGGGTGATTTTTACTTCCTTGTTTTCCAGATCACTGCTCTTTTCTTCTGTGTTACTAATCTGCTGTTTATTCCCTATAGTGTATTTTTATTTCTGTTATTCTTCAGCTCTGATTGGAACTTTTATATATTTTCTTTTTGTTGAAGTCCTCACTGTTTATCCATTTTTGTCTCGAGTTTGATGAGCAGTTTTATGGCAACTACTTTGGACTTTTTATTGGATAAATTGTTTATTTCCATTTTGTTTAGTTCTTTTTCTGATGTTTTGTGTTATTTTGTTTGGAACATATTCTTCTGTCTCCTCATTATGCCTAACTGTGTTTGTTTCTGTGTATTAGGTAGTTCATCTACATCTGGTGTTGAAGGAGTGGCCTTATGTAAGAGATGTCCGAAAGGGCGCAGTAGTGCAATTCTCTTACCCTGGTACCCAGACATAGGTGCTTCAGGAGTGTTCCCTGAGTGGGCTTTGTGCGTCCTCCTCTTGTGGCAGCCCCTTGGACAGCTGCAGGTGCCCTCTTGGGTGAGGCTGGCTTCCTTCCCCTGCCTGGTTAGCTGGCAGCCTATTCCTGATGGCTACAGGTGTGCTGTAGGTGGAGTCCTATAGACTGCAAGGCTCTGCTGAGGGGCAGGGCTGTATGGGGCTCTCAGTGGCATGTGCACCCTGGCATTTACATTCTAGAGAGAGGATTTCAAAATGGTGTCTGTCAGCTCCAGCATCAGCAGGGCAGAACAAGATAGCAAAAATGGCTGTCACCAGTGTCTTACTTCTCAGGGAGATTCGAGGCACGCCCCCCCACCCAATCCTCTTCAGCAAGTGCTCCAAGATTAGTAAGTAGGCCTACTTTACCTGTGGTCTTTGTGCTTTTTTATTTGGCTTTTGATCTTTTTGATATGGTTTTTGATCTGATTTGGAACCATTTGTACTGGTTTCTGGGTTGAGTTTGTGTGCAAGCCCTTTATGAATGGGGTTTCCTTTCTTTACAGTTTTGTAGTTTTCCTGGACATACTCCCTATTGGTTTTTAAGGCCAGGTGTTTGGGAAGCTCATCTCTTCATGAATTATCTAAGGGTTGGGTTGTTGGATGTGGAGTTTGAAACTCTCCTCAGGGAGATAACATTCCTTTGAGGTCTGTTCTGACCATGGAATGTTGCTCCAGGGGTTTGGTTTTTTTTCCTTAGCAAGACTGTATCCTTGCCTCTTCCACTCATCTTGATGCTGTCCCTTGTTGTGGGGGCTCTGTTCATCCAGTTTCTAGGTCTGTTCAGTTTGTTGTGTTTGTGGGAAGAGGTGAGCTCAGGATCTTATTATTCTGCCCTCTTGAACCCTCTTCCACTCCTCATTCTGTTATATTATTCAATGTCATAGTTCCAGTAACTTTGCTGACAGACTTTTCTGAGTAATGTTTGTTGGTAGGAGTAGCAGGCAGCCATCTTTCAAAAAACTGTTGTTTTTTTTAAAACTCAACTTTTAAACTCAGCATTCAGTTATGCTGTTAGAATTTCTTTCTCTGCCTATGTGAGGAAAAGCATGCTTCCATAACAAAGAAGTGCTACACATATATCATGTTTCTTATTATAAAATTTTAGAACTATGTCTGCCAGTGGTAGTTTGTTATTCAACGAGTAAATTTGCACCCTTTGCTTTCTTGAATTACAGTGGACTTCAGTCATAGACTTCATAGAGGTAGATTAATTTACTAACAACCTGTTTATCATATGAGATCTGGTTCTTTGTGTTACTATATGGAAATACATATTAAAAAAAGTTTTATTTTTTACTTTTTCAAAGATTTTATTTATTTATTTGACAGAGAGAGAGCTTGGGGAACAGAAGGCAGAGGGAGAGGGAGAAGCAGACTCCCCGCTGAGAAGGGAGCCTGACGCGGGGCTCTATCCCAGGACCCTGGTATCATGACTTGAGCCAAAGGCAGATGCTTGACTAAGCCACCCAGGCACCCCACAAAAACAATTTTAAAAGAAACATGGAGGGGCATCCTGGGAAGCTCGTCCTGGGATCGAGCCCTGCAGTGGGCTCCCTGCTCAGCAGGGAGTCTGCTTCTCCCTCTCCCTCTACCTCTCCGCCTGCTTATACTCTCTCTCAAATAAATAAAAATATAATCTTTTTAAAAAATAAAAAAAATAAAAAATTTGCCCAATTTCCAAAAAAAAAAAAAAAAGGTTGTCAAGGGAAAAAAAAGAAACGTAATCCCATACTGGAACAATAATTGGCTTAAATTATTCTTTGTCGAGTTGTTTTAAGTTAAATACTGCAAAGATGGACAACTTGTGCTGGTGGTCAGAAGGAGACAAAGAAATAGCAGAACTTGAAGCACTAGGTAGGAACTGGATTAGAGAGGCAGGCATATAAATGTTAACGTTTGAGTATTTTTCAGAGGACTAGTGTCGTGCAAGTCAGAAAGTCACTTAAATTATGAAAGAGTGAGCAGGTCATGGAATTCAAGGTGTCCAATAATGGGTCCAGACTGGGCAGGGGCTGAGGTGTTGATCAAGGTCAGTGCGCCAGTTGTCTCAACAAATGACTGACTTTTGAATGTGAGGCTTTGACTTTTCAGAAGGTTCCTTTGTATTTTTTCTGGTCAGGGGCAGGTACTATGTAGGAAATGGTTAGATTTGATTCTGGCTGGAGCAAGGACCAAAGACCAACTGATTAACTCTGATTTAACTCTGATTAAAAGTACAGATTCAGACATGTCAGGTGGTAAAGAAGCAAGTGAGGATAAAAGGGATGGGAAGAGGGAGAAAGGAGTTAACGTTTATTGTATGACAAAGGCTGTTAGAACCGACTGGACATCACAGTCATTACCACTGTAGTTGTAGTCCATGAATATCTACAGAAATTATTTCACTCTAAAAAGCAGCGTAAACTTACCTTTTGTGGCATAATAATGATTTGGTCTTTGGGTTCTTGGCACACAGCTCCCCAAATCCTTGGAATCTCTGCAGAGATGAGTGTCTTTTGTATGCTACTGAGATGACTGGTAGCTGGGGGTCCCTAGATAGCTTCTGGAAGGCACTTGACGGAGGAACCAACCTTGTAGTTAGAAGGTTGGAACTTGTGGCTCTACCCCCGGACCTCCAGGGAGGGGAGAGGGCCTGGAAATTCAGTTCATATCCAGGGGTCAGTGATTTAATCAATCAATCATAAAGACTCCTAAATGATGGGGTTCAGGTTGGTGAACACATCTAGGTGTGGGGAAGGTGGTGAACCATACACCTCTCCCTTACCTTCTCCTGTGTATCTCTCCTTCAGCCATTTCTAAGTTGTATCCTCCATAGTAAACCGGTGCTAGTAAGTGTTGTTCTGAGTTGTGTGAGTTGTTCTAGGGAATTTTCAAACCTGAGGAGGGCAGTGTGGAAACCCCCAAATTCACAACCCGTTGGTGAGAAGTACAGACGGCAACCCGGATGTGCAGCTGGTGTCTGGAGCAACACCGGTCTTTTTTTTTTTTTTTTTAAGATTTTATTTATTTATTTGACAGAGAGAGACACAGCGGGAGAGGGAACACAAGCAGGGGGAGTGGGAGAGGGAGAAGCAGGCTTCCCGCCGAGCAGGGAGCCCGATGCGGGGCTCGATCCCAGGACCCTGCGATCGTGACCTGAGCCGAAGGCAGACGCTTAGCGACTGAGCCACCCAGGCGCCCCAGGAGCGACACCAGTCTTGTTGGATCCAACCGTTGAGCCCATGGCGCCTCACAATAACCCCTGGCAGGTCGTGCCAGGACTGGTGCAAGAAAAAACGCCACACATTTGGTGTCAGGAGTGTTGTGAGTAAAGTGAGCCCACCTACCTACCTGAAGCTCAGTGCACACCATCCACATAGGTGCTTCCCTGCCAACATTGGTTCAGAAGCTCTGAACTTGTCTAGTCAGAAGCTTAGACTGTATTCCTTGCTTGTACTCCTGTACCTGGTTTAAATCCAGATTCCTAATCTTGCCTTTATTATTAGAGTGCACTTTTTCTGTGCCCCTCTAATCCCTCGAACATGGTGTTGATTTCCCTTTTTTCTTGCTCTTTGTGGTGTGGTCTGATACACCAGGCCATGTTTGGCTTTCTCCAACAGTATTTGTATGCTTTCTTTTGCCTCTGATGGTCACTGACAGCCTCTCTCAGATGGCGATGTTTGTTCTAATGGAATATCGTCCACCACGTTCTCCTGGGTCCTGGACATTCCTGCTCTCTTCAGTTCCACTGCCGCTTATAACATGGGATAAAGGTAGAAAAGCTCATCTTGAGGATTATGTCAGTAGTGGGCAATTATTCTCTAAAGAGATGAGAGAGTTGTGTGGCATATTTGTGGTTGCTTAGCATCAGCATGATTCTTAAGTATATTTTTATTTTTCATACAAGTACCTAGCATAGTGCCTTGCAAACTGAAGCATTCAGAAAATCCCACCAGAAGGATTAGAATGAATCAACAAATAAAGACACATTTGTTAGTCAGAGAAAGACAAATACCGTATGATCTCATATGTGGAATTTAAGAAACAAAACAAATGGACAAAGGATAAAAAGACAAACCAAAAAACAGACTCTTAACTATAGAGAACACACAGATGGTTCCCAGAGGGGAGGTGGGTAGGGGATGGGTGAAATAGGTGAAGGGGATTAAGAGTACACTTACCTTGGGGTACCTGTGTGGTGCGGTCTGTTAAGTATCTGACTCTTGGTTTCAGCTCAGGTCGTGATCTCAGGGTTATGAGATTGAGCCCCATGTCAGGCTCCGCACTCAGTGCTGAGTCTGCAACTCTCTCCCTTTCCCTCAGCCCCACCCTCTCTCGTGCATGCTCGCTCGCTCTCTAAAATAAATCTTTAAACAAAAAAAGAGTACACTTACTTGATGAGCACTGAGTGACATATAGAAATGTTGAACCAGGATATTGTACACCTGAAACTAATATACTGGCATTAAAAATAAATAAGAACTGGCATTAAAAATAAGAACAAATGCATTATGTTAACATAAATAGCATTTTTATTTAAGTAGCTATGTTAAAAAAAAAAAAAAGACTCCTGTTCTTTGCCTTTTTAGTTTGTTCAAATCTCTGAAGAAACTCCTTTGTGCCTAAATGAAAAATTTATCCTTTTTAGTTTTCCTGATGGCTTTCTACTGCAAGGACTAAGTCATAGAAAATTCACAGGAATATCCTAAGTATTGTGGTATTGAGTAAAAAAGGTTATGTTTGTTGTGCTATGTGGGTATGTCCCTGGAAATTGAGTTTGTATGGACTGTGGAATTTATACAGACTAATACTAGATTTTTCTGCTTTTCAGAGGTATAGGCATAAGAATGACAGAACCGATATATCTCAGCCCCTCATTTGACAATGTACTGCCCAGCTACTTATTTTTACAGGCAAGTATTTGTCAGAGTAAAATATTTAAAGACATTGAAACATAACTTCGGTAAGTTATTTCAAATCTAAGGTTTTTTTCTATTACCATATTTTTTGTGGTTTATTTTTTCTCATCTACCTTTGGTTAAGCAGTAAAAAAAAAAAACCAAAAAAAAAACCAGACCCCCAAAACCAAAAACACTTTGTACATACTCTCTTCTTTTTCTCAACTGATTTTATTTTATTTTTATTTTTTTAATTAATTAATTTTTTTATTTTTTAAAGATTTTATTTATTTGACAGAGACAGCGAGAGAGGGAACACAAGCAGGGGGAGTGGGAGAGAGAGAGGCAGGTTTCCTGCTGAGCAGGGAGCCCGATGTGGGGCTTGATCCCAGGACCCTGGGATCATGACCTGAGCCGAAGGCAGACGCTTAATGACTGAGCCACCCAGGCGCCCCTCTCAACTGATTTTAAACTTTTTAAAAAACCCTGTGTTGCCCAAAAGAGTGTTAATTGCTTATTAGCCTCTACTGTTTTGTTTCTTGGAAAGTAATTTAGAAAATACATTATTTTAAAAAAATGCATTACTGAGGCATCTGGGCAGCTCAGTCAGTTAAGCATCTTCTATGGCTCAGGTCATGATCCCAGGGTTCTGCATTAGGCGCCCCGCTCAGTGGGGAATCTGCTTCTACCTCTCCCTCTCCCCACTCCTTGTGTGCGCTCTCTCTCTCTCAAATAAATACAATCTTTTAAAAAAATGCATTACTGTCTTTAAAATAAATAAAAATAAAATAAAAAAATGCATTACTTTGGGATATTATTCTATTTTATTTAAGGCAAACTTATCCTAGAGTAGCAGTCCTTGTATGATCAAAACCAATAATGAATTAATGGTATAATATAACTTGTTGCCATATAGCTTATTGCTGTAGATACATGAGTTGTCCAGTCTCATATTTCTGGGTGCCAATCAGAAATAGATTGGTTTACATTTTACTTTTCTCCTACAGAAATGTGGTAGTGGCGGGGAGATAGGAACCCAGACGTCTTTGAGTGGCATTAGCAGCATAAAACTAGAATTCTTAAGTGGGCGTTAGATGGTGAAGCACCCAAAATTCCAAAATTTTGTACATTTTCTTAGAAAAAGATCCAGAGCTTTGTTATATTTCTGAAAGGGCTTTGGCCTTCAAAATACTGAGAGCCACTGAATTGAGGGAAAAAATGTGCTTTTTTAGTTAAATTGATAGGGGAAATGCATCATGCATGTGCATGTGTGTGTCTCGTGTGTGAATGTCCAATGAGATCATAGGATACTCTAGGAAACTGTGAATTTCCTGACACTATGTTTACAGAAAACCTATTCTTGGCAGAGGATGCTATACTGGATTACCTCCAAAGATTTCTTTATGTTCTGTGATTCTGAACTTTAAAAGGATTTAGAATCACTGATAATTGATTTTTTTTTCCTTTATAGAATTTGCCATCTGCTGTAGTAACTCATGTTCTGGATCCTCAACCCGGAGAGAAGATACTAGATTTGTGTGCAGCACCTGGAGGCAAAACAACACACATTGCAGCATTAATGCATGATCAGGTGAGACTGTCTTCACAGCAAAAACTGCTCACAACATGTTGAAGGTGGAACTACACATAACTTATGAAACATGTAGACATTCATAATCTGAATGATTTCAGATTCAGCCAAAGTAAAGACTGTTCAGTGATGGCATTCATCACGTGTTGAGTTCAGGTTATCATTTGTGAAGACTATCTGAAGATCTTGAATCCCAGATTTACTAATACATTTGTAGAGTAGAAGTCTTCATAAAATTATGTTTAACTGTAACATTTAGGAGATTTTTTTATGTTCTTAATTATAAGACTTGACACTTTCTAAACTACTAAATTCTGCCGCTAAAACTTGATTGACAGCACATTACTGAAGTATCAATATATACACATATATATATATGTACATTATGATATGTACACATCAAATACATTTTCTTGAGATCCATAAAAACCTTATGATCTGGCTTAATTATAGAGCCTGTTGCATTGTTATAAAATATAGTAAGTCTTATATAACTTTATTTCAGATTTTACTGCTTTTTCCCTACATATATGTATATGACAATATGTTTTCTTTCATAATGGGTTAGTCTGTGTTCAAAACTCAGTGTGACCCTGTAACCATTCTGTGCTGGACCTAAGATTCTTCAGCTCAAGAAGGATAGGGCCAGTTGATGCTTTCTTCTTGTTTCAAATTCCATAAAATTACATGGTTCCTGAAATGCTTAGACACACTAGTATCTTCACCTACTTTGATCTGGAGGCAGATTTTAATTGATTGGTTGGTTGATTAAACAGACAGTTAGTACTTACATATGCCAAGTACTGGGGAGGCAGCAACAAACCACTGGGACCAAAATTGTCTTTATTGTGTAGCTTCCCTTCTAGTTAAGAGGAGACAGATAATAAATTAAATGAATACAAGTTATGGCATGTAGGATTGTGGTAAGGGCGGTGGTGAGCAAGAGAGGAAGGGGAGGGGCATCGGGAGTATTGAGGGGAGTGAGTATGCAGTTTTTAGGAGGGTAGTGAGAAATGCACCCTGTAGAGGTGGTTTTTGAGGAAAGACTTGGAGGTGATGAGCAATATGGAGGTCTGTAGAATGCATATTTTAGCTAGAGAAAAAGCAAGTGTGGGTGGTCTGAGGCTGGAGGGCATCTGATCTGTTTGAGGAATCTCTGCAGTTTGCTGAGAGAAACGAAGTGAGGAGGAAAAGAGACCAGAGAGAGGGAGGTCCCAGGGGTGGATGTTTGGGTCGAGCTGTTGGCAGGGTCTGACAGGACATTAGTTATGCTCGAGTGATGGGAAGTCACAGAAGAGTGATATAAGCCTCTTTACTATTTCAAGTATCCTTTTGGCTGTTGCCTTGAAAACAGGCTGGAAGAGGGCAAGGGTGACTGGTTTGGAGACAGTTATTCAGGGAAGCATCGTGGAGGTGGCAAGAAGTTCTGGAGATGTGTTTAAGGTGGAGTTGTAAGGAGTTGCTGATGCACTGGATGTGGGTTATGGAAATGTGAGGGTAATCAAGATTTTGGGTGAGGGTGACTATGGGAGGAGCAAATTCTGCAGGGAAAAGTCAGAAAGTTGGTTTTGGAGATATTAAACTGAAATGTCTATTAGACTTGCAAGGGATGATGTTGAGCAGGCAATTAGATATTTGAGCCTGGAGTTCAGGACAGAGGTATAGACTGGAAATAAAAATATAGATTGGAAATGTAAATACATATAAAATAGAAATTTGCAAGCCATCAGCATATAGATAATACATAAAGCCATAAAACTTATGTGGGTGGCAATAGAGAGTAGAAGAGGCCAGAAGACTGAGCCGCACGGGTACTGTGTGCCAACATTCAGAGGTTGGGGAAAGGAGAAGGAATGGCCAGTGATGTCAGAGGAAAACCAGAGGAGTAGTAGGACACCCTGGAAACAATGTGAAGAAAGGGATTGAAAGACAGTGGAGAGAGAGCTATGTCAGATGTTGCTGCTGGGCCACATAAAGTGAGGACTGAGAACTTCCAGTGGACCTAGCACCAGGTCAGTGATGGGCAACCTTATCATGAGCAGTTTTGGTGAGTGGAAATGCTTGCTTGGATTGAGAATGAGGGGAATCCAAGAAAGTGAATCAAGAGCACTCCTTTGGTGGTGGTGGTGGGGTGTTATTTATACAGGAATACAGTGAAATGGGGCAGTAGTTGGAGGTGAACTCAGGGAGTACTTTATTTTACGATGAGAGAAATGATCATGGTTGTATGCTAATGAGAGATCCATTAAAAGGGGAAATTGCTAGCAGTATCTTTGAGGAGGTGAGATGGGATACATTTTGATGCACAAGTGGCTTTAGATGGTAGCATACAACAGTTTATCCATGGAAATCGGAGGGTCAGCGGAGTACACGGGTGCAGATATTGGTGGGCCGGTCAATGTGGTAAGAGACAGGAAGGTCTCTCTTGGTTGTTTGAGTTTTCTCAGTGAAATATGAAGCAAGGTCATCAGATGAGAATGGGGATGGGGAAGGAGGTGGTAAGAGCTAGGAGGTATGAAATGTTAATCTAGGAAAATGGAAGTGAGAATGGGCTATGGACACATCCTAGCAATTCCAGTTTGCACTATGGGCTCTGTGAATACAATGGTCATGAATGTAAGATTTGTTGGGATAGTGATGGGCTTTTTTTAGCTGCCTGGATGTAGATGTGAAGTTGGTGAAGAATTGGATTTAACCACAGCAGCATTTTTATCATGCTTATATCTAAGACACAGAAGCATGTGTATAAGAGAGTAATGTGATACAACATGGAATCTAAACTGGGTAAAGAGCATAGCAAGGACAGTAAAAGACTGAGGGCAGTAGATCCATTCATATTTTTCTAAGTTAGCTCAGATTTATACAGTGGTAGGAATTCTTAGGCACCTAGGAAACTCTTTGGCAGTTTTTTTTCATGGTACTCATTTATAAGTAAGGAAAATTTGCCTGCCTGAAGTGTAAGACTTTCTGGTATAGACATATACTTCTGTGAGGCTTAGCAGAGCCCTTCTGCTCTGATTCACTTGATAGAAGATGTAGTATCTGTGTGCCCACTCCCCAAAGTGCCAGATGTTGGACTTTACCAGATGATCATTTTTGATCTATATTTAAGTGATTAAGTCAAGTGATTTACAAGCAGTCTTGCACAGAAAATATAGGAACATTTACTGTGTCAAGATGAAATTGTAACTTTTTCCTTTCATTAGTGCAAATCATTTTATCCAAAGACTTCTGATAAAAATTCACATTACTGGGGCACCTGGGTGACTCGGTTGGTTAAGCGACTGCCTTCATCTCGGGTCATGATCCTGGAGTCCCGGGATCAAGTTCCGCATCGGGCCCCCTGCTCAGCAGGGAGTCTGCTTCTCCCTCTGACTCTCACCCCTCTCATTCTCTCTGTCATTCTCTCTCCCTCAAATTTAAAAAAAAATTTAAAAATTCACATTACTTGCATATTAGTATTTGATACTATTACAATTTCTGAAACATTCACTATGTCACAAGCAGGGAGATAACGCACACACACATACATATATATGTAAATAAATAAGTAAATTTATATTTTCAATAAATATATGGAAGGGTTAAAACCTATCTCTGCACTGTATGTAAATCTACATACACTATATATAGGCACTGTATATATGTTCTGTGTGTATATATATGCACTCTATATATGTGCCCTACATACACACACACACGTATAACCTCAGTGAGTGGCCTTAAAGTAACGAAGGAAGTAATGAAGGAAGGAAAAGATATTTGTTGTTTAAAGTTTTGGGGTATTAATACTCTTGGTTCATTAGAGGAGATGTACTTTCCTGTTTATTTATACTCTTCTTTGTCCCAAAGGAATCGAAGGTGTTAACAGTAAAAACCTTAAGGAAAAATGCATTAGATACCACCAGTGCATAAAACACAGAACATGAAATAGAAGGATTCATTTTATGGAGGAGGATTCATTTAGTCATTAAACTGAATCAGTTTTCAGTTTACCTGAAATCCTTAACTGTAAAGATGATGATATGCTTTGAAGAAGTGATAACAATCTGCCCTTAATTTATGGTATATATTTATTGTGTTTGCTTAGAAGTATTTATCCACGGATACTTTATTCTCTCTAGTAAGTCTTTCCAAAAAGAGTCTGGATATTTTAGATGTGTCCATGTTGTGTTTGGTTTCATAGTGCTGTGTGAAATGACCACAGAAAGTGTAGCAGCATTGTAATCGATGCATTTGTCATACAAGGATGGTGTATATAAAAGAAACAAAAGCAAGAAAAGACACTGAAGAGTTAATCTCGCCATCTCTGCAATATCATTTCATAGTATATTTAAAAAATTATATGAATGTCACAACACATTTGTGAAAGAGTGGCCTCATCTTTGTTGACTTTAACTTAACCAAAGAGTTGCCATAGAAATTATTTTTGAACTACTTTTTATACCGTCTAGAGCATTTTGCTGTGATATACAGGTCAGTATTTTTATGTTGTAATTGTTAGAATTGAATTTTGTTTACATGTACAACTCAGAAAATATTGAGATGAGGATTGATTTTACAAGTAACATTCATCTGTATTCCAAAGCACTAGAAAAACAGATATCTCAGAACATTAGTTCATATTCTTCCAGATGTGAACAAAGCGTATCACATTGGTGATTTTTTTTTAATATTTACCTCCAATAGATATTTTCAAGTTAAGTTCTTAGATGGCAAACACTATTTATATAGGTTTTGAGTTTTGTTAATTAAAAATAGCTGTGCACTATAAGAAAATTAACCTGGCAAGAATGTGCTTTCCTATTTTGTATTTATTTTTAAGTTTTTATTTAAATTCCAGTTAACATCCAGTGTAACATCACTACAGTTTAGTGATTCAGCACTTCCATACATCACCAGGTGCCCATCACAAGAGCCCTCCTTAACTAACCCCATCACCTATTTCACCCACACCCCCCCCCCCACCTGCCCTCTGGTAACCAGCAGTTTGTTCTCTATAGTTAAGAGTGTTTCTTGGTTTGTCTCTAAGAATGGGTTTTTTTTTAAAGGATAAGACTTAAGTGTATTAATGTAAATTTGATACACATTTGTTTAAAGAATTCAGCTTTAAAACTAGGCGTGGGAGGATTGTAGGGAAGAACATAATTTTTCATCACTTTTCCTCGTTATTAATAGTTTTTATGACTGCCTTGGTTTTACACTTTATGTGTTTTGTTTGTTCTTTAGGGAGAAGTAATAGCACTGGATAAAATATCCAACAAAGTAGAAAAAATTAAACAGAACGCTTTATTGTTAGGACTGAATTCCATCAAGGCATTTTGCTTTGATGGAACAAAGGCTCTTAAACTCAGTACAGTTAAGGATGCTGAAGGTAAGTTAAATTTTATCTTTACAGGCTTCTGTAATTGGCTTTGGATTTTGTTGTCATTGTTCTAGCCCTAAAATATCCATAAAACCTTGAAACTGGCATGGATCTAAGATATTTTGCCATAATAGATAACATTTTGCTTTTTATCTTATCCCAGAACATATATACAGTGCCTATATATAATGTATGTCAGATTTTATTTTTTTTTAAGATTTTATTTATTTATCTGATAGAGACACAGTGAGAGAGGGAACACAAGCAGGGGGAGTGGGAGAGGGAGAAGCAGGCTTCCCACCAAGCAAGGAGCCTGATACAGGGCTCCATCTATGTCAGATTTTAATAATACAAAACCAAACCCCAAGACTTGGTCAAACTCTTTGGTCTTACTGTATTTGTCTTAATTTCATATTAAATCTCAAAAAGTTTATTAGCCCTTCAAGTTTGTGAATCTTGAGCTATTTTGTTGTCTTCATGTTTTCTTGGGAGAATGGGGCTATGGAGCTGGGAAGGGAGGAAAAACTGCCACATATCTTGTTTTGGAATAAAATGTTGCATTTATTAAGTCCCTTTATTGCTCTCTTTCTTTGTTTAGACTTGATTTCATGAAATACTCAAGAAATTTGCATATTGTAATGAACCAGTTGGTGTTAGTTTCCCCAAAATGTTTATTGATTAAAGATGCTACTTTATTCAAGCTGAGGACATGGTTTTGACTCCTCACACCTTATAGACCATCTAGTTTTCCCATACATAAGCTCTTGACTTATGTACTGACTACTATCACTACTAGACAGTGGACGGGTCAATATAATTCATTACTGTCACTTTACTGAAATTGTTGGTAGTTCACCAAGTTTACATATCACTGAATAAAGTGATCATCCTCAAAAGCATAATAGACAGATTGGGCTAAGAACAATCAAGATGTAGGGTAGCCATCTTAGAGGTTGGTCTTCAGTGCTATAGAGAGACATTCATTAATTGACTTGGGATAGTCCACTGATTTTTCACTCATCCACATCACTTTATTAGCTGATGGTCATAGGTTGTCATCTTTAGCTCTTTTTTTTTTTTTTTTTTAATCAAGACTATTTCATCACAGATACTCTATGATAGTTTGATTTGGGGTGTTAAACCTAGAATGTCTGGCAATAGACCCAATCTGTTTGATGGAAAATGTATCAGCAGTAATATGAACATCACCATATCTTTGGGACTCCTGGAAAGTGAGAAGTTATTTTGGGACACCTGCCTAATGTGTAATAAACCTCATGGGAATAAACAAACAAATGAAACACGTGTAAAGCTTCCTAGAAAAACGGATTATTCTGAAGAGCAAGGTCTGGACTATTATTTATCTTCTTACAGAGGTGGGAATAGGTTAGATGTAATTGTCTGATTACAAGAGATCAGCATTTCATGGTCAGTTGATTGTTAACCCAGAGGAGTTAGCCAGGAGTTGGCAGGAGATTTATAACAGCGCATTGGCTAGTAGGCTATATCCGAGAGACCCAAAATACAGTGGCTTAGAAAAGATAGAAGCATTTTTTGTTTCTTTGTTTTTTGTGTTTTATTTTGGTCTCACCTAATGGAAATGGGTGTCTGAAGCTGGTAGTTTAATATCTGGGTCCAAGACAGATGTTCCAGTTCTTTCAAGGGGAGGGGAAAGGGCATCAGAATCCTTGGGAATGCACATGCCACTGACCAGGTTAGTCATTTGATCAATTTAGCTGCAAGGGGACTGGAAAATGTAGTCATTAGCTGTGTAGTCATGTGCCCAGTTCAAAACATAACTTTAGAAAAAGAGGTTAATGGGTATTGAAGAACAACTAGCAGTCTGACAAAGGCTTTGTATCACTGAAAGTGATGATGATGATCGTTAAAATTTATAAGATATTTAAAATTTTTATTTTAGAGTAGTTGATATAGTGTTACTAGTTTCAAGTGTACACCGTAACAATTCTACAGTTCTATAAATTACTCGGTGCTCACCACAATTAAGTCACCTTCTGTCACCATAAAATGTTACTATATTATTGACTATGCCCTACGCTGTGTTTTGTCTTTTTTTTTTTTTTTTTAATCTCTGTGACTTATTTATTTTATAGCTAGAAGTTTGTACCTCCTAATTTCCTTCACTTATTTTGCCCATCCCCTCACCCATCTCCCCTCTGGCAACCACCAGTTTTTTGTCTGTATTTATGAGTCTGTTTCTGTTTGTTTGTTCATTTGTTTTGACATTTGGAGTCCACATATAAGTGAAATTCTATAGTATTTGTCTTTCTCTCTCTGACTTATTTTACTTAGCCATCAAACCCTCTAGGTCCATCCATGTTGTCATGGATGGCAAGATGCCATTCATTTTTATGGCTGACTGATGTGTGTGTGTGTGTGTGTGTGTATACACACCACCTCTTTATACCATCTATCAGTAGACACTTGGGAATGCTTCAGTATATTGGCTACAGTAAAGGGGTGCCTGGCTGGTTCAGGCAGTAGAGCATGCAGCTCTTGATCTCGGGGTTCTAAGTTTGACCTTCACATTGGGGATGGAGATTACTTAAAAAAAATATTGCCTCCTGTAAATAATGCTGCAATAAACGTAGGGGTGCATATATCTTTTTGAATTGATGTTTTTATTTTCTTTGTGTGATTAGTAGTAGAATTACCGGATCATATGGTGTTTCTATTTAATTTTTTGAGGAATCTCCGTACTGTTTTCCATAGGGGTTGCACCAATTTACATTCCCACCAAGAGTGCACAAGATTTCTCTTTTCTCCACATCCTTGCAACATTTGTTATTTCTTAATCTTGTTGATTACTAGCATTCTCACTGGTGTGAGGTGACATCTTATTGTGGTTTTGATTTGCATTTCCCTGATTTGCATTTCCCTGATGATTAGTGATGTTGAGCATCTTTTCATGTGTCTCTCGGCTATCTGTATGTCTTCTTTGGAAGAATGTCTTCTCAGGTCCTCCACCCATTTTTAATCAGATTATTTGGGGTTTTTTTGGTGCTGAGTTGTGTAAGTTCTATATGTATTTTGAATATTAACCCCTTACAGATACATCATTTGCAGAAATCTTCTTTCATTCAGTAGGGTTGCATTTTCATTTTGTTGGTTTCCTTCACTGTGCATAAGCTTTTTATTTTGATTTAGTTCCAGGAGTTTATTTTTGCTTCTGTTTCCCTTTACTGAAGAGACGTATCCATAAATATGTTGCTAAGGCTGATGTCAAAGAGATTACTGCCTGTGTTTTCTTTTAGGAATTTTATGGTTTCAGGTTTCATATTTAGGACTTTGATCCATTTGGGGTTTATTTTTATGTTATGGTGTGAGAAAGTGGTCCAGTTTTATTCTTTGGCGTGTAACTACCCAGTTTTCCCAGCACCCAGCAGTTATTGAAGAGACTATCTTTTCCCCATTGTATATACTTGCCTCCTTTTTCATAGATTAATTGAATGTAAAAGCATGGCTTTATTTCCAAGCAGTCTATCCTATTCCACTGATCTGTTTTTTCACCAGTACCATATTCTATAAGTTAAAATAGCTTTATAGTATATCTTGAAATCTGAGATTGTTCAGCTTTGTTCTTCTTTTTCAAGATTGCTTTGACTATTTGGGGTCTTTTGTAGTTTCGTACAAATTTTAGTACTATTCTAATTCTGTGAAAAGCACTTGTTGTTTGGTAATGATTGCATTAAATCTTTAAATTGCTTTGGGTAGTATGGGCATTTTAACAATATTCTTCTGTCCATAAGCATGGTCTATTTTTCCGTATGTTTGTATTGTCTTCAGTTTCTTTCTTAATTTCTTAAAATTTTCAGAGTATAGTTCTTCCGTCCCTTGGTTAAATTTATTCCTAGGTATTTTTTCTTTTTGGTACATTGGTAAATGGTATTTTCTTAATTTCTCTTCTACTTCATTATTAGTGTACAGAAACACAACAGATTTCTGTACATTAATTTTACATTTTGTAACTTTACTGAATTCATTTATTTTAATAGTTTTTTTTTTTTTATGGTCTTTAGGGTTTTCTATATATAGTATCATGTCATCTCTAAAGAGTAACAGTTTTATTTCCTCCTTACCAATTTGGATGCCTTTTATTTCTTGTCTGATTGCTGTGGCTAGGACTTCCAGTACTGTGTCGAATAAAAGTGATGAGAGTGAACATCCTTACCTTATTCCTGATCTTAGAGGAAAAGCTTTCAGTTTTCCCTATTGAGTATGATATTTGGTGTGCATTGTTTCATATATGGCCTTTATTATGTTGAGGTATGTTTCCCCTCAGCCCACTTTGTTGAGAGTTTTTATCATGAATGGATATTGCAGTTTGTCACATGGTTTTTCTGTATCTTATTGAGATGATAATATGGTTTTCATCCTTCTTGTTAATGTGATGTATCACACATCCTTGCATCCCTGGAATAAATTCCACTTGATCGTGGTGAATGATCCTTTTCACGTATTACTGAATTTGGTTTGTTAATGTTTTGTTGGGGATTTTTGCATCTGTCTATCAGGGATATTGGCCTGCAGTTTTCTTTTTCTGTAGTGTCTTTGTCTGGTTTTGGTAGCAGGCTAATGCTGGCCTCTTAAAATGAATTTGGAAGTTTTACTTCCTCCTCTATTTTTTGAAATAGTTTGAGAAGAATAGGTATTAACTCTTCTTTCAGTATTTGGTAGAATTCACCTTTGAAGCCATCTGGCCCTGGACTTTTGTTTTTTGGGAGTTTTTTTGATTACTGATTTAATTTCATTACTAGTAATAAGTCTGTTCACATTTTCTGTTTCTTCGGATTCAGTTTTGGAAGATTGTATGTTTCTAGGAATTTGTTTCTTTTAGGTTGTCCAATTTGTTTGCATATAATTTTTTATAATCCTTTATATTTTGTGGTGTTGGTTATTTCCACTCTTTCATTTCTGATTTTATTATTTGAGTTCTCTTATTTGAGTTCTCTTTTGATGAGTCTGGCTACAGGTTTATCAATTCTGTT